TTAGTGATAACACAGTGTAGATAATGCTTAAAATTCATGCACTTTTTAAAATTAATGAGATACTTCAATTAAAAAAAGATAAGGTAGGTACAGGGAGTTGTGGAAGCAAACAGGAGGGACATTTGTTTTGACTTAGAGATTCAGGAAAAGCGTTTTGGAGCAGATGATGCCTACGTTAAACTTTCTAAGGAACTTTCTAAGGAAAAAAAACTTGTAAGATGTTTAATAGCTAGAGAGGTAGAAAGCAATAAATGAAGGAGGAGAAGGGGAAAAAGGAGGAGGGAATAACATGAACAAAATACAAAGCATAGGGGGTACAGAATACTCCAGGCATACCAGCTACTACAGAGTTCACCACAAGACAAATTCTAGTGAATGAGGCTAGAAAGGTAGCTGGGAGCAGGCCCTGAGTGTCATTCTAAGGAGCCTCGTTATTCGGAACTACCGAAAGATTTTAAGATAGGGCATGGCATGGTCAGAGGTGAGATGTGAGTTATAAATAGCTCCTCAGAAAGTCGCAGTATAAAGGATTATTTAAAATGGGGAGGGGGAGGGGGTGTGGCTATCATTAGAGGGTGGACACTAATTAATAGACCACTATATTTACCTGGCTCAAATAAGATAAGGGTTCTCATTAGGGCAGGGCGATCAGGGGTGGAAAGGAGAAGGTGAATTTGACAATTATAAGACAAACATGTAGAAATTAGTACATGGTTTTATTGTGGGGGGTATAAAGAAGAATATTTAATATAGGGTTGGCAAATGAACTCATGTCACAAGCCAACTCTGATTAATTGCCAGTCTTGAGCATTATAAGTTGAAAAGATTTCTGAGACCACAGTGAGCTCAGTGGAAACATGTACTAGCAATGACTTGTGAACTACACCATGGCAACGGAATCAGAGGTGGGGAAGAGTAGAACATGCGCTGTGTATTTGTCATCCCTGTCTAAGGGTGACTTCCAATTACTGATCACAGTGATCCAAGAATAGTGACACCATTAACTGCCACTGTGCACATGGGAGAAGGTACATTTTTAGGTCAGGGAAAATTGATGAGTTTACTTTTAACTGTGTTGATTTTGAGGTCCCTGTGAGACATCCAAGTGGAAGTATCTGATGGACTGTTGAGCATGTGAGACTATACACTTCAAGCGAGGTCGAGACTGAGGGAACAGATTTAGGATTCAGCAGGAGATGGGACAGGTGAAGAAATTGCCCCATGAGAGCACATTGAATGAGAAAAGCAGGGGGCCAACCATGGAAACTTGAGGAACACCAAGGTTTAAGGGGCAAGTCAGAGGAAAGGCCCACAAAAGAGACAAAAAAGCAAAAGGAGAAGCAGGACAGTACAGTGATGGCAGTGGAAGAAAAACTCAAGAATAAACAAGGGTGAGGGTGGGGCTGGGTCGTCCACAGTGTCAAAAGCAACAGAATGGTCCAATAAGATAAGGACTAAAAAGTATTCTTTAAAAGCCTCCATAGGTTATTGGTGGGAAAGAAGTCAGGCTAAACTGTGTTGAGGATATGAATTTGAGGTAAGTGTAGATGATCAGTACAAACTACTCTTCCAGGAAGCTTAAAGAAGATGAGAATTAAAGCAATGAAACACAAAGATGCAAAGTGAGCCAGTGAGAACCAGAGAGACAGAAAGTGGCCTCTCTTGCCTAGTGCTACAGTTGCAAAGGCAACGAAAGAAGGAAGGCAAAAATCTTCCTACTGACCGCCCTAAGGGTGCACAAGAAATATTTTGTTTGCTTTCATTTGAGGTCTACGGCTTCCATTTTACAGAAAGCAGATACGTGGCCTCGGTCTGGGAATGGCTGGACAGAACCAAGCTATAACTCATTGCTTTCTCATTGTAAGTTTTAGCTACTACCCCACAGACAGCTGCCTTCTCCTGTTCAGCCTTGTAAATGACTACTGATTATATGACAGCAACAGTTAGCTCTACATTTTACAATAATTGCAATCTTTCATCATGATAACAATGAAGAAAAAGTTCTGTGAACGTTAAATTTTTGTCTGCCATCTTAAATTACTGTTTTGCATACAGGGAGATCTTTAGAAAAGCATGTCACTGTCCACCCGACAAACAGAAAATAAAACAAAAACAAAAGAAAGGAGAATGAAAGTTTGAACCAAGTAAGCAGTTGGAAGTCTGCATAAAGCCAAATATAAAATGCATCTTATAAAGGATGGGGGCTATGAGTCACCAAGAACAACCCACAACTATTCTATTAATAATCGGCATTAATACCACAAGAATTCCAGGGCTGTGTCTGAAGTACAATTGTTTTGAAAAAAAACATGTGTTGCAACAAATGAGAGTAAGTTATTCAGAGTAGAGCGAAACTAAGACTTTGGGACTGAGACAGGAATAAAGGGTCAGAAGTAGGAAAAACACACTATTTGAAATTGTATTAGTTTCAGAAATCTAAACAACTATTATGTTTAATAGCAACAGATTTGAGATAGTGAACAGATAAACAATGACTATGACATCAAATTTATTTCAAATAAATTAAATACTGCATTTTTACACGCTATTTACATGAGCAATAAATACACTTACATTCTGAGAAGAGCCTTATAAAAGGGCCGTGTGAAGAAAGCATCCAACAAATACTGGTGTATTAGTGCAAGACCAAGGATCCTACCACTGAACCGGAACCTGCGAAGGAAAAGCATGAGATAGTTTACACTTCATGGAGCACTTTCTAGATGCTTTCATTTGCTTCCTAGAATACCTACCAGCTCTAATCATCTAAATTTGCCCAAGATTAATTGCCTACTAGGTCCGTGAGAGTTTGTGTGCACTGTAGGCTGCGTCTTCATTAGGCCAACAATTCATACCTACTTGTTGAAGAAACCTGTTTCACTCTGATACTCAGAGGCACTGCTCTGCCTCCACTCCATGTCCATCATGTCCACTATATAGCACCCTGCATTGCCAATGTGAACCCCCAAACCACTTCTAAAAGATATTGACAGAATGAGATCGCTGGTGTTGGGGAAAATGCTGTCCCCGTCTAGCATATATACATGAGTATTAGCAGGATTTCTCTAATACAAACCCAGTAGCAATTCCCTTCTCAGGAAAAGCCCAATCTCAGATTAAGAAAGTTCCTACCCCTATTTTCATTCAAACTCCACTCCTGATGGTAATTTTCATCAAGTATTATGCTGATGGACATTTGGGGGAGTTTCCTTCTGGGACATTCTGTTCTCTAAAATCTCAAGGCTCAATTCTATTCTGAATCACTTTGGAAACTTTATTAAGTGTATGTGTTATGACTGGATTTACTGCCTTCCAAAAGTACTCAAGTTTCTAGCTCTTTGAAAGTCTGATGCCTTCTAAAAGTATAAATCCACACTGAAATTCATACTTTAAGTTTGCAATTTTAGTGTTAGGCAGCCGTTTTAAGATTAATGGCCAGCATGTTGTTTCTCTTTATTTCCACTTATGTTAGCACAACTATAACAGCCACAGTTAGGAGGACTCTAAATTGTAGCTAAACGGAAGTTAATCTGAAGAATGAGTCCTAAAAGTCAACAGCCTCCACCCACCGATATTAATCTCATGACTCAAAGAAGCTTTTTCCATGAGCCCTACTCATGTTCCTTCTTTGTTACTATCAGTGAAAATGAACAGGAACAAGCTAATAGGGGCTATACAAATATTTAAAGTCTATAACTGTAGGGATTTTAAAAAGATGTAAGGACGTTTGGAAAGAGTGCAATTTGAGATTTTCAGAATAAATAATCTCCAGATGGGAATCCTAAGTCAGTTTTCCTTGAAGATTTTGTGCAAGACTTTAGGAAAGAGGCAAATCCTGGTCACAAACTTCAAATGGCTAATGCAGTGAGTAGCCACAGCTAGTGACTCCCCACTCCTGCCCTTCTACCGTGGCTCCTCTGGGTCACCCCACCTGACCCGACTGCCACTGGAACATCATCATCGCCCCAGCCAGAGGTCCAGCTGCTCCCCACCCCACCCCTGTGCCAGCCACTTCCTCATGAGCTGCTCTAGAAGCTGCCCAGCCTCAGCCCAGACCCTTTCTCTCTTCACCCCAGATCACAGAAGCCCAAAGCTGCAGAGAGGAATTTAGGGGTCTCGCCAAGAACCTAACATTATCTGTAACTTTCTTTTAATGGGAAAAACTTTCGAAGGTTTTTTCCAACTCACTTAAATTGATCGTATAGAACACAATCTATTTGTAGCTTGGAGACTGCCTGTGTATTTAAATTTGACCTCAAAAACAAGAGTCAAATGAGGTATTTCACTGGAAATATGATTTTGCCCCAAAGGAAAAAAATTGTTAAAAGAAATGTGGATTCCTATTAAAAAAAAAAAACTAATATCATAGAATATCAACTGAAGAAAAGTGCTGGAGAAAAAAATACTTACCATTCATGGTGATTGTCTACAAAAGCAGACATAGGACTTATTTGTACTGTGTATGTGTCATTGGCTGAATATTCAAATAAGCCATAATATGGGTTAAAGAGTTCTCTGGATACCAGGAAGAAAAACTCTCTGGAAGGTCCACTGTAATCCAGCCTATACAAAAATCCACAAAAAGAATCATCGGTTATTTTTATTTCTAGATATTGGGCACATTTTCTCCAGAGCTCAACTTCCTGTAGAATGCTCATTACAAGTCTAATTGTCCACACACCAGAGCTGTCCAAAACAAATTGAATGATCACAGTTCCTGATCTCATCATATCTTGACACAGAATGGTAAAATAAACATTTACGTGGAGCAGATCCAAAACTAGGCTACATAACAGGTAATGCATAAAATAGGCAATATGCCAATAATTTGATTGTATAAATATATACAAAAAGGTAAATCTTTTAAATGTTGGGAGCAAGGTTACAGGAAAGCTTAATTTAAAGCAGGGTAAAACCAGAGGGAATCAGCTATGTACACTTATAGGACATAGAGTCCTTGTGGATGTCTGAGACATTTTTAAATGGGAGAAGAAAGAAACTTCTGTAAACCGGAGAGAGGATATTACCGATACAAGCCCCCTAGGGAGGTCAGAGACCAAAAATGGAGTGATAGGGTGCAAGTAAAAACTTGAAATTACAAAACACCAAGGAAAATTACAAACAAGAAAAACGAGGGTGCCTAAAGCTTCCTAAGGAAGGTATTTAGAGAAGAGGCTGAAACGCTACTACTTGAACTGCAGTATAAATTCTA